CCTGCCTGCCATGACAATGGCCGTGCCAGCCCCCCTCCCCCGCCGGCCTTCCCCTCCAGATACACTGTGGAACTATTTGAGCAGGTATGAATACATGGGATAAGTGGGAGAAAGGGGAAGCTCAACGTCCAGAAGGGCCTTCACTCCAGTTCCCTGACTCTGAGGCCCCCAAGAGACACTCTCCACTATGCCATCTGGGTACCATGGTTATTTCCCGCAGTAACAAGAGCGGGACCATGACTCTGATGGTGATGGTCCCGAGGTGGTGAACAGGCACTTCTTTCTAACCCTATGCACAGAGAATCCCTCAGCACATCTGAGTCAGATTCTTTGCCTCTGAGCTGGTCATCCTTTTTTCTGTTGGGTTTATTCACTGCAGGGCTCAAAAGCATCCCCACTACAGTGGTCTTAATGGCTGCCATTAGCGGAGGACACACAAACGTGGTAGAAAGAGCTGCAGGTTACAAAAGAGAAAGTTCTTCTGGGAGAATTCCTTTATGGTGCCAGCTAGAAGCACACCTGCCTCTGCTCATAATGACCAGTGGTCTAGGGAACAGCTCTAAATTGTTTAAGATAAAACAGCCCAGGCAGGGGGTGTAGTGGTTAAAGTGCTAGACTTCCACGTGGCCGACCGCAATTCAAGCCTTGGATTCAGCAGCTCAAAATTCATACCGGGTGCATGTGTACATATGCCCAAAATCTTAGGAGGAGAAGGGATTGCAACGTGGCCATTTCTTGGGGAGTGGGGGGGTGATTTTTCATTTTCCCTCTCACTGTCTCTCTGGTAAGCACACGCACCCTATGGCAAAAACCTTGGGGGGAAGAGTCAAAGAAACCAGCCTAGGTGGACTGCATCTATGGCATGGTGGTTAAGGCAGCTGGATCCCGCATGGCAGTCTGTGTGGTGTGAATCTTGGACTCTGCACATTGAGAAACACACCAGGCACACGTGCACATGCTCAAAATCCTGAAGGGAGGGAGGGAGAGAACCGCAGCACGACCATTCCCAGCAGCAGTACTTCCTCCTCTCCCCACTGTGGAGGGCACACAAGCCCTCTGGCAAAAATAAAAATAAAAATCCAGTAACAAAAATATAGTCTGTGCACAAAATCTAGCAGATACTAGGTCTGGTCTCCTTCCCTTCTACTGGGCTGTGTACCCCACTCCAACATGGCAGCCTAGACTGGAGGACCCAGATACTAAGCCAAACTGACTTCCCCCACAGGTGGGACGAGCTATGGCCATCGCAGCTCTGGACATGGCAGAATGTAATCCGTGGCCCCGCATCGTGCTCTCAGAGCACAGCAGCCTGACTAACCTTCGGGCCTGGATGCTCAAACATGTGCGCAACAGCAGAGGCCTAAGCAGCACTCTGAGTGTGGGTGTCAACAAGAAGAGAGGCTCTCGAACTCCACCCAAAAGTAACAGGTAAGACCAAGCAGGTGGGAGGGGAAAGGGTAGGAACGTAGAACAGGGCTCTACAGAGAGGTGTTCCAAGGGCTTTATATTCCTATTCTCCTGGAAGTACCTCAGGGTGAATATTTTCAGGGTAAATCATTAGATGAGTTCATTTTTTGAGAATGAGATCCTCTTCCCTTTGACCTGTGGAACTATATCTGAAAACCAGGCTGGGGGAGTCCTTGCTCCAGAGCCCTGCACAGATCAGTTATAATTGTGGTGGGTGTGGACCAGGTCTCAGCCTCCAGTTGTGACTGACTGACTGAAGGGAGTTGGAGGGCAAGCGCCAGGGCAGTGGGGGAACTCACTGCTCTTTATGGGGGAAGCAAAACTGCTCAGGGACAACCCAAGATTAGCTGCTATGTCCCGGGCTGGAGACCTCATTCAGAGACATAGCCCTCCCTTTTTCTTGGAATGGGGCCCTCTGCCTCTTCAGTGAAGCTTTACTAAGCAGCAGACCCTGGGGGACAGCTTTACTGATCAACACAACCTGCCTGGGCCTTGGTTAACTGGCACCTGCTTCTTTGCAGTGGATTGCCCGTTTCCTGCTCTGAAAACACCTTGAGTCGGGCACGAAGTTTTAGCACTGGCACAAGTGCTGGTGGCAGCAGCAGCAGCCAACAAAATTCTCCACAGATGAAGAACTCCCCCAGCTTTCCTTTTCATGGCAGTCGGCCTACAGGGCTGCCAGGCCTGGGCTCTAGCACCCAAAAGGTCAGCCACCGGGTGCTGGGCCCCGTCAGAGGTAAGCCAGTCTGGGAGCCCCTGCAACAGGTGTTCAGTTGTTTGGGGCATTGCTGGGGGAAGTGAGAGCTTGAAGATACACACTTGGCCCGAGACCAAGGGGTGAATCAATAAAATTAGTTTGTAGCAGAATCTGCAGCCTCTCCTGCGACCTTGGTGTTCCCTGCGACATGACTCCAGAGCGGCTTCATGGGTGTCTGGGCTTCAGCATGTGCTAGGAGCCAGGGAGGTTTCCAAGGATGAAACACTAGTGGAAGCAGAGCCAAACACAGACATGGAGCCTCCACGCCAAGGACAATGTCAGTCTGTCTTCTTGGGGACAGTCTAAGAGGATGTCCTCAGATTCTACGTTGCAGCACTGTAGAATGATGGGAATCTTATTTGTGGTCTTTATGGGATGAAATTGTTCCAGGCTTCAGATCTTATTCAGGAAGTGATATCAGGATTCCAGCCCTTCTCAAGAGAAATAGAACTGCAGACAGTGTTTATCCTAGGCCTATAAAAGCTAGTCCTAGCAGTGGGCATATCTGCCTCAGGGCCGTAGGTTTTGCCTTATGTGACAAGGGAGTCTGGATCAAAAGTAAATGCCAGGAACAGATGGGCCTTTAGGAGGGGGGAAAAAAGGAAGTAACTAGGACTGAGCTGGATTGTGGGGGGAGGGAGAATTACAACGCCCCTTCTAGAAACACACTAAGCCCCAAGTCAATACGGAATGTGACTCCTGGGCTACAGAAACCTTGCCAGCGTGTGGAGGCTTAGAAGCTGGAACTAAGAGCTTTCCTGGCCTTCCCACCACTCTCATCCTTACTAACATATCCCTGCCACTTAGCCTGCCATGTAGGTTTGGGTATAACAGATCAGACTTGCTCTGGGTCAGTGGCCTTGTATGTCTGACTGCACTAGTTAGAAGAAACACAGAGAAGAGAGCAACCGTCCTTACCAGCCTCGAGCGTTAAAATATTCTGCCCTAATGTGTGACCTGAGTATCTTTGCTTACATCCCAAGCCCATTCTTTGAGCCTCTATAGTTATTAGAAAAGGACACTTTGCATACTGTTTGACAGAGAATATTCAAGTAATAATGCCTTCTACTTAGCATTTGACGGTAAGACATATCACAAATATAATTTCATTTTGGGACCAGCAGTTAGCGTAATGGCTATGTCGCTGGACTCCCACGTAGTCAATTGCAGTTCGAGTCCCGGACCCGGTGGCTTAAACTCATGCCAGGCACATGTGCATGTGTGCCCAAGATCCTGAGAGGAGAATAGAGGAGAAGGGATTGTGGCGTGGCTATCCCCCCTGGGGGGTGATTTCTCGCTTTCTATCTCTCTTGTCTCTCTCTGTCTGTCTGGCGAGCGCATGCGCCCTATAGCAAAAACCTCTTCAAAAAAAATATATATATAATTTCATTTAAGCCTCACAAGGACTTTGTGGGATAGATGGTTTCCATTTTTCTGATGAGGAAACTGAGGCTGTTTAAGAGTGACTTGTTCTTGGGGCCAGCAGGTGGCGTGGTTGAGGGTGCTGGAATTCCACATGGCGATTGCAGTTCCAGTCCCGGACCTAGAGGCTTGCTTTCTTGCATTCTCCTTCTCTTTCTCTTTGTCTCTGGTCACATTAAAAAATAACAATAATTATAATAACAAATGGAATTAAAGAAATAAATCTTAAAAAAAAAAAAGTGACTTGTCCAAGGTGGCACAGCTGTTAAGTGGCAGTTATTCCAATTAAATTTTTCCATGCTTCAGCATATCTAGTTTTCTCAAGTTAAGTCTGCATAAAGGTTTTTCTTCTATTTTTCTTTCCTCTTTTTTTTTTTTTTTTTCTTTTTTTGGTTCAGCCTCTCCTAGCTGAACAAGTTTCTGGGAACTCCTTCACCAGCATCATAAATTCCCCTTCTCTAACTACAAAGGGAAATAGTAAAGAGTCTTCTAGGCAGTTATTATCTTATCGTATTGCTGTCCTCCCCCACCCCCACCCAGCACACACTGCTTGAGGGGAAGTGTTCTGTATTCTGTTTCTCTGTTACTTCCCCCAGGTAACTATGAGAAAATAGCATAGTCAATGCTATGTAATTTCTGGTTGATTGATTTGAAATATAACAGGGGAAGTAGGACAATAAATGTGGCATAAAGTATACATACATAAACCCAAGGGACTTGGGAGTAACTGTGGTAGACAGAGTAATTCATCGAAGGATGTTCAGTTGACAATGCAAGGGGGTCTTCAAAAAGTTCATGGAAAGTGCATATTATGAGAAGTGCATGGATCTTTTTTTTGCACCAAAATAAACTCATACATTAATCCCACTTTTTCACAAACTTTGTGAAGTCCCCTCACAGTTTCGAAGAATGGGTGGCTTGCCAAAAGCATTCCATAAATGAGAAATGGCAGCCAGGAACAGGAACAGAACCGCTGGGGAGTAGACAGAAAGCACTGTCCCAAGCTGGTATACAAGGGCTAAGCCCTCCAGCATGTAAAGCAGGTAGAAGTGAGGAGCTGGATGTTTTGGGAACAAAGCTTACGAGTTACCTGAGATATGTTAACCATTGTGTGTTTCTAAGAATAACAGGAACAAAAGAAAGAAACTGAACTGCACTTACTGGACCGGAAAGGGGAGGTGGGAGCCCTGCACTAGTTTACACAGGCCATGATTAGAGCACGCACCAGGGTCCAAAAGGAGAGATACATTTAAATGTAAGTATTGGAAAGAGAAGTGGCAGGGTTCAGTGACTGTAGAAGAGAGGCACTAATGGCTTCAAGGCCGTAAGTTAAAGGAAAAGTCATGGTGACAGTAAGACATTGTTGGAGAAAAGTGCAGAGCTCTCTATTTCAGGCGTACTTTGATGCATGGCTATCTGTTTGGAGATACCTTGCAGGCAGAAAAAGAGAACTATAGAAAAGGTGAGGTGACAGGGTTGGAGATCTAGGAATCAGCCACATACAGTACCAGGTGAACAAGTGAGAAGGCATGTTCCCCCAGGTGAGTGGGCTTAGAAAAGCAAAGAGCAAACACCGTAGGGCTGGCATATATATCTGGAAGTACAAGGACACTGTGCCTCTAAAGTCAGGGGGTCAAGAACAAGATACCAAACAAATATTTTAAGGAGCTAAAAGGTGAGATCCTAACACTCTTGACCCCTATGTTCCCCTGAACATCTGCTTGTGCTATGACATTCGCTGCTTCATCTCTGTTAGGGGATCCAGCAGGTGGCCTGGTGGTTAAGGCACTGGACTCCCACATGGCTGCCCAGAGTTCAAGTCCCAATCCTGGCAGTTTGGTTTCTCACTCTCCCTTTCTGTGCGTCTCTCTCTGGTAAAAACATGTTGCCCTATACTATACCAAATTTAAAAAACAATGATAATAAGATTAAATAAAAGGTTTTTTTAAAGAATTATTTTATTTACTTTTTAAAATTTATTTCCTTTAATTTGACTAGAGAGGGACAGAACGAGAGAGAAAGTGAAAGAGCAAGCCACCAGGACTCGAACCACTTTCGGCTATGTGGGAGTCCAGTGTCCTTAACCACCACACCACTTGCTAGCTTCTCTGAATAATTTCTTTTTTAAAGTCTGTTGGAATCCCAGGATGGGAGACTTGCCCTAATTGGGGATGGGGGCCATGATGCATACTGTGGCGTTTGGACTTGGCATCCTTAGCCAGCCCTTGGAAAGGCTTCTCTATCCGTCCATGAATCTGTCCTGTGGTGTGGCTTGATGACTTTTCCTGGTTCCCCAAATCTGGCTCTGCCACATCAAGGCGTACCTTGTTTTCTAAGCTAGGAAGAACATGACCCATAGTTCAGAAACCTAACTGTAAACTAGCTATGCCTTCCAGTCCCAAAACTAAGATAGAGGTTCACAATGGGTTGAGTCTTTTGTTATTGTTTTATTTTGTTTACTGTGAATACTCATCCAACTGTACATTTAATTAATAACTATCTTTTGCTGGCTAGAACAAAACAAAAGATTGGGCTATCCAGGGAATTTGAGAAGAGATCCGAGCAGCCCAGTCAGAAGCTTAAGGCAGAGGTTCAGGCCTAGTTCAGGTTCGGAATTATTTCGACAGTTCTGGAAGAGCTCTGAGTAAACCCTGACTCACAGCACCTCTTGACCTTAGTGCCAGAGCCTTCTCTACTTAGTTCTTCCCGGCAGCAAAACATGCTCTAAGTACTGCCTTCCCAGACCGTAGTCCCCTAGCTCAGAGGCACAGACAGTACTAGCCGCAGCTGTTACTGCTGCAGAGGAGCAGGAGACCACTGGAGAACAGCCAGCATGGTGATGAAGTGGGAGAAGTCAAAAGCCTGCAAGGTACTGGTGTAAAAGCAGATGTCAGCAGAGCTACAAGAGGCCTGTTGGAGAGGGGAATAGGTGAGCCAGCTTCTTCTGTCATTTATTGATTAAAGCAGGGCAGAGTCTAGGGGAAGCGACTGAGGTGCCTAGGTCACACACTCTCAGGTCACGCAGGTGCCTTGCTTCATTCTAGTCCTGGCCCTGAATGTAAGCAATAATCTCACTCAGGAACTGGAACTTACTCCCTGGCCCTCCAGCCTCCCCAGCAAAATACTGGTGTGAAAGACAAGGCACTTAAGTCTAAAAGCAAGAGCCCTCGGTCATCACCCTACCACCACTGTCATCCCACCCAGCTCTGTCACTTCAGCCAGAGGTTACTGAACTCTTCCCTGGCCTCTGCAATGCCTTGGCTCAGCTGACAGGCAACTTTTGGTAGAGCAGGTAAGATCCAGCAGTAAGTGGAGGCTCTTCTGGAGTGAGTCAACAGGACACAGAAGGAATGCCTCCATCACCATTGTCACCTTTACTTTTTCCACTGCAAAATGTTAGGAAATGCCTCTGAATACACCTTATTCCCTTACCACCTGGCACTGGCACTCATGTATTCAGCATAGTATCTGCTGCATGAATAAAAGGCAAGAAGCTGGGAGCCAAATGAATCTTGTCTGATCTTTCTACCCCTCAGAGAACATAGATCAGTCTATGCTTATCCCAGCAGCTCACTAACATCTGGGGTGTTACATGTAGGTACAGTTCCCAAGATGTTTAGGGGGGTGAGGCAGGACCTACGTACAAGCCTAATGACTGCTCCTCTAAATTGTGAGAACTTGGCACATCCACTCCAACTCAAAGAAGGCAGTTTGGCTTGACCTCTCAGACCTTTGCCTTGGGACTATCCTACCACCCCCAAAATGGAATGTATAGCTGATTACCGTAGATACCTCATAATCTCTGGGAGCAGAGCCAATCTTACAGCACTCTCACTCAGCCTTAAGCTGCTGTTTTGATAGCTCAGAAATACACAATTGCGGCTCCTTTTACTTCCTGTCTCAATGAGGACTGAGTCAGCTTGGATTATGCCAGAGGCCAGAAGTCAAAATGTGACCCTGGGCTGTGTGCTCACATTGACAAATGTACAGGCAGTCCTGGCCAAGTCCTTGGTCAGTCATTTTAAGTGACGGTTGAAATGCTCTTTAAATGACTTATACTTTCCAAATCAGGCCTCACTCCTAAATCAAATCTTATCTCCTCCTCAAATTCTCATTAGGAGCAGGATTCCTGGGTTTTACCCTTAGTATCTTTCCCATGATCCCCACTTCTGCATTCTGCATTGACATGTTTTACATATTTGCCTGTTTTGCATTATACCTTCTTGAATGTCCTTTTCTTGCTAGAACTTACATGTTCTAAAGGCTTTTTACTCACTTGCTTACTTTTTCTCTTGCCCTTTCCTGGGATGTGTTTATCCCTTATGGTTGCAGCATGCCTGTGTGTGTAGGTATTTCTCAGACCATCTACAAACCCATTGTTTCCTGCAGGTTTATTATCTCTGCCTACTAGACCACCCCAATGTCCAGTTACCGAGGTCTGGACCTAAATTATCTGAGTCTCTGATGGTGGTTACTGTTTCATGTGGCTACAAGTTTCTGACTTTTGTTGTCCTGTTGGCATCTCTGTGCCCTGTCACCAGTCTGATTGCTTTTTACATAATTTTTAATTTGCCAGAGGGTGTGTGCACTTGCCAGAGAGAGAGAGAGAGAAAACCTCCCTTGGGAGATGGCCACACCCCAATTCTGTCTCCTCCATTTCTCCCTCCTTTAAGGGTCTGGACACATACACACACACACACACACCTGGTATGTTCTCTAAGCCAGTTCCAGGACTTGAACTGCAGTCGGCATGTGGGATCCAGTGCCTTAACCACCACGCCACATGCTGGCCTGTTTGGTGGTTTTTTGTCTCTTGACTACCATCTTTCACTCTAATCGGTCTCAACACAACTCCTCAGAAGTAGAGTAGCTCCCACCCTGAGATCACCCTTTCTTTTTTATTCATATGGGTTCACATTTTTTCTTTTTTAATTTGGTTTGGGTCCTTTCAGAAGTATTTGGCTACTGCCTGCTGCTGTCCTGTTTAGCTAGATAAGATGAAATTACTATGCTCTGCTTCACCTACTGCCCGAGGCAGAGGCTTTTCACAACCAACACACGTTGCTTTATAAGACCAACTGGCATCTTGGTGCTTCCACTGAATTCAGTTCTGTGAAGGCTAACAGTTCATTCATCTGAGAGCATCTGGCACTCCCTCTATGATGAGGAAGGACCTACCAAACCTGCAAGCTTACCTGCCCCACCCCTTCACCATCAGTCCCACTGGAACCCCACCTATCAGAACGTGTAGTAGTGAGGCTCCAGCAACAAGGAATTGACCAAAGAGCTTCTCCAATGAGTGCAGCTATATACTCTTAAGACTCCAAGGATGGTTGATCCAGCTCATGATCTATAGTAGGTGTCTGCTCTTCAAGTAAGCAAAATGTTTATTAAGGTCTCTGGTTTTCCAGATAACACTTCCCAAGACCTGGGATAGATAGTGTTGTAGAGATAAGGTCCCTGCCTTCAAGAGACTCAAGTTCCAGTTAGAAATATTATCAATAGCTAACATTTAATGGGTACTGTGTGCCTGGCACTATCATAAATACCTTACCTGCACTAACTTATCTAAGGAGACAAACCATAAGCAACCACTAGCCATGTGAACAAAGAACAGTGCAAGTAATAAGGAGAGACCAATTCATTTAATTCTGCCTGTAACGGTCAAGGAGGCTTCACAGGGGTGACATTTGAGACAGGACAAATGAAAGAAGGGCAAGGTTTAACTAGAACAGGAAACAGAAATTCCAGAGGAGGCACAGTTAGCAGCCACAGGTCTATGGTGGGGAGTATGAAAGACCAAGTCTACATTCCACTAAGCATGTGCAGCCGGGAACCACAATGGGTGACTTCATCCTTCAGTACTTCTCCCTTGCCTAAGCCACAGTGATTTTTGATCAAGTCTCTGTTTTAGAATAATTCCTGGCACCCACATGAAGGATGGATGGTAAAAGAGAAGGGATTCTAGCTAGGGAGACTAGTAGGAAAATTTCCCCCAAAGCCTTCATGAGAATTGAAGACCTGAAGCTGTACACTGGCAGTGGCAGGAAGACTAGACCCCAGGTGAATGCAGAGGTGGAATCACTAGGGTTTGATTAAACAAATCTAAATGTAAAGGAGAAGTAAAAAGATGGAACAAAGTTTCTCGCAGATATGTTGGCCCTGAGGTCTAGAAATTTACACAGTCACCAAGACAGGGAGAGGGAAAGGGAGGGAGAGAATGAGTTTTGCTTTGGGGACTTCCAGGTGGAAATGTCCAGTGGACAATGAGAACCAGATTTCAGGAGAAACAGGTTAGATAGAGACTGCAAAGTTAAAAGAGTAAGAGAGCAAGAGAGGACCAAGGGCAGAATTGGTGGGGACCAGGGACAGCCGAAGGGCAGGAAGGGCATCTGGACAAGGCGTGGTTAAGAAAAAGGACTCCTAGGAAAGCTGTCTTAGTAGCTAAGCTCAAGAATTTTTGTCAAGGGAACCAGCGGTTAGCGTAATGGCTATGTCGCTGGACTCCCACGTGGTCAACCGCGGTTCGCGTCCTGGACCCGGTGGCTTAGAACTCACACCAGGTGTGCCCAAGATCCCGAGAGGAGAATGGAGGAGAAGGGATTGCAGCCTGGCCATCCCCCCGGGGGGTGATTTCTCGCTTTCTGTCTCTATGTCTCTCTGTCTGGTGAGCGCACACGCCCTATAGTGAAAACCTCTCAAAAAATAAAAATAAAAAAAGAGAACTTTTGTCAAAAGAATGAACTGGTAGGACGAGGGCTGGCTGAGAATTAGATCACTGGAACCAATGTTAGGGGTCTTTCTACCCATCTTACCGTTACTTCAGAACAGAGACCTTAGTCTGACGCCATGCTTGAAAACCCATCTTCTGACCAAGGGAAGCCAGTGGGGTGGTGAAGGCTGGGAGTGCCTTACCTATTAGCCTTTATATATGCTGTGTCCCTTTCTCCCAGAACCCAGAAGCCAGGACAGAAGACGGCGGCAGCAGCCACCAAACCATCGCCCTACTGCAAGCAGCCTGGCCCCATCCCCAGCTCCTGCTAGTTCTGGCCCAGCCTCTTCACGCAACCTGGGCTCCTGCCTTCTGCCCAATTCACTCAGCATATCAGGTCTGTACCACCTGCCACTGAAACCCAGGTTGGCCAGCCTCCTCCCTCCCCTACCACCCAGGGCTTAGACCAGGCTCCCAGCTAGGCTTGAAGAAACCCCTCAGCCATGCTGCCACCTGACCTGGACTTCCTTCCTGATTTGATGTAACACAAGCCACCCCCATCAGTTCTCCTGCCATCCTAGTGCCTTTGTACAGAAAGCTGGAATTTAATGAATGAATGTCTTTGTATAATAAAATGATAGTTACCATTTATTGAGCGTTTACTATGTGCCAGGCATTGCTCTGTGCACTTTATCTCATTTAATACTCATTTTTACAGTTAAGGAACCTGAGGACTTTTTCTGCCTACAAAGGGCTACTTACATAAGTTCCCTAACTCCAAGAACTGGGCAACACTACACAAAACTGGAGAATGAAAAAAAAGGGAAAGGCTCTTTATCTGTCATCACTACAAATGTTGTGTGTAACCATATTACCTACAAAATTAAGCTGTCTACTCTGCTTCTTAAGTTACAGAGCCAGCTGTGTAAAGGACTGGATGGGAATGGGTTTTAAGACTCCAGTCCACCATCTGCTCTCACACAGAGCCCACTACACCCAACCTGCCAGCTCTTCTCAATGGGTAGCCCTCAATCCACCTGTTGGGGGTAGAAGTGACTTGATCTTTAAATGCTTACACATATGACTAGGGTTGGCCCTGAGGTCTAGAAATTTACACAGTAAGTCAAGCTTGGGGGAATTCTGACTCTAAATTGAAGATGATGCTCCGCCCCTAGGACCAGAATAGAACCTCAAAGAGGGGCCATCCCCCTGCCCCTGGGGCCATCTGACAACTCTGGAGACATTTTTGCTTGTCACTATGGGAAAGGGGACACAGGAGGAAACAGCGTGTAGTGTCAGAGGCTAGGAGTGCTGCCAAACATCATTCAGTGTGGACAGCCCCAGTTATCCAACCCTGATGTCCAGAGCGCCGAGGTGGAAAATCTTCTAAAGGAAGGTCCCTCTTCTCCAATGACCCCTACCCTGATGATCAGTTTCCTCTGTTCTCTAGGGAGCAGCTGCACACTCTTGTCCTCGGGGGACAAGCCAGAGGCTGTCATGGTGATTGGGAAAGGTCTGCTAGGGTCTGGAGCTCGGATCCCCTGCATCAGGACTCGATTGCAGGTAATATTTTGGGGTCTTCCCAATCCTCAGCATAACTCTGGCTGAACCCAGCAAGGCACTCTTCATCTGGGCAGTGGGAGGGAAAACGCTCACACTGCTTTATAGCCTCTACCCCAGCCATCCCAGAGAGCTGCTCTGGTGCCTGTCTGTCCAGCGTCTCCTGCCCCACCATCCCCCTCAGCCAGGTCTCTTGCTTGCTTCCAACCAACCTATCTCTGCCAGATACACCCCGCCCTCAGCCTGCTAGCTTTGGCTTTCCCTGCCCCTGCCCTTAGCCTCTCCTCTCTTTCTGCCCAGACCTGCCCGAGGAGAGTTTCCGCCAGGAGGGGTCCCGGATTCCCCAGGTAACACGTCTGGTTGCTGCTCCTAGGAACAGCCCTGCCACCAACTTAGATTCAGTCCAGAGGTCAAGGCTAGTGTAGCTGAAATTGGGAACAGGTCAAAGGCTGACTGGATGGGTGAAGTTTAAACTGCTCTGGCAGGGGCTGAGGCGTAAAGGCTCCGAGGGAGGCCTACTGGTCCTCCATCTTTCTACACAGCTTCTCTACACAGCCAGACCTTGGCCACGGTACAGCCATGGAGACTAAATGCTGGAATCTTTGGCCACCCTGTGTAAAGCTGGGCGTGCACAGCTGGAAGTTCCCTGGCTATTATCCTGCCTCACTCTATTAACTAGTGGGTAGTGCTAGGGAATGCAAGGTCCTAGTGCCTCCGTTGACCCTTGTACTACGTTCTTATGCACGGAAACTCTAGAAGCAGCCTAGAAACCAAAAAGGTCAAGGGAATCCGGCCTCTTAGCCACCCCCTGTCCACACAGGCTAGGCCCAGGTTGGGCCGGGGCTCACCGCCGACTCGCAGAGGGATGAGAGGCTCTTCAGGCCCCGCATCCCCTATCCCCCGGACCAGGGAGAGCACTGAGATGGAGCCGGGACCCCGCTCTGCTACACCAGGGTGAGCACCAGGGTCCAGTCCCTCACCTTTCCCCTCACTTCCTCTGTCCCCTCATTCCCATTTCTGCTATTCAGGATCATTTTCTTCCTTCCCTCCCATTGGCCCCAAAGACTAAAGGTACTTTCATTAACAATACAGTTGCTGATTTTTTTTCCCTTACAATGGCCATAGTCTCCACTCCAAAGGACGAAATAGACAAGTTTTAGTTAGGGCCTAAGGCCTAGAAGCTGGCTGGTTCCAGCATCAGCCTACTGTGCAATCATCAGTTGACTGCCCCTCTCCACCTACAGCTGTTTACCTTTCACCTCCCAGACCCTGGCTAACAGACCAGAAGAGGGGCAGCGTTGTCATAGCCCTGATTCTCTCTCTTCTCTGTTGCAGGCTGCCTCAGGCCGGGCCCCCACGGCCCCGCTCTGCCCCTGCCTTTTCTCCTACTTCCTGTAGTTTCTCTGACTCCCCATCCCGGATTTGTTACAGCGGGGGGCCCTTGGGCCAACCTGAGGTTTGTTTTGTCCCTAAATCTCCCCCCGTCACTCTTTCTCCCCGGGTTTGATGACGCCTTGACCTTCATGCCCAGGATATAGCTCCAAGATGGGGGAACACAGTGAGAGATACACTAGTACCCTCCCTCAGCTCCTGATTCCATGTGACAACCATAACTCCTTGGAATGCCAGCCACACTGTCCAAGGCACTGCAGAGCATCACCTTGAGACAGGACAAAACAGGGACCAGCCATCCTCACCCTCCCTCCACAGCACAAGATTTTTGGGACCACAGGAAAAAAAATCTATATTTTTATATTGGGTGGGTGGGAGTAGAAAAGAAAGCAGCCCCTATACTGGGCCCTATTCAGTGGCAGCTTCTTGTTCCATAGGGTTAAGGAAGACTTTGAGGAAATAAAAGTTGTTTGGAAAAATCCAGGTGTAGTTGCTTTGTATGTTGTGATGGGTAGAAGGGATGAAGTGAAGTGTGAAGGCCCCTCACACCCTCCAGCTTGCCTCATTCTATGTCCTGGAACCCTAGAAAAGAGGGGGAAAGACCTGAGGTAAGGAAAATGCTGCAGCTTTCCTCCGGGGAATCCTTCAGGAGTCAACTCCCATCCGACCTGTTCCCTTGACATTTGTGACCCATGTGTACGGTTCTCAAGCTCCTCCCCCTTCTCCATCAGTCTACCCAACACTCTAGCCTCAGAACCAGTGAAAAAAATAAACGTTTTTACCCCTCACAAAATAAAATAAAATAAAATAAAATAAAATAAAATCTGCCTAACCAGCCTTGGGAAGGTTAGGGCTATTTAAGTGAAGATGGGACGCTCATCCTTGGATGGCACCCTCAGCACCTTTGCTCTTCCCGGCGTCAGTGCTTCCTTGTAAACAGACCCCCAACTTGGACATCTACCTACTAGGGGCCACCAGAAGATGGGGTCTGAGAAGGATCAGATTAGCAGAGGAGGAGGTAGAACCCAAAGGCACTCTACTCTGTGCGAATAAAGGGGCCCAGTTCTGAGCTGTGACATGCTTGACCCGACACTTTCTGATTTGAAGTTTTGAACCCTGCAGGCCCTGGGGCGGCCCCGCCACTCAGCTCTCTGGGAGCTGGGCGCTACAGCCCCAGACCGTTACCTGGGGCAGAGAAAGCGCCATTTTGCTTCTTGGGATTGTTGACGGCCACGTAGTGATAGAGAACGACAAGTAAGAATAGCGACACGCCCAGCATGTTGGCGAAGATGGCGAGCTGCACGTCGGTGATCATCCTGCGGAGAAGAGGAGGGACTGAGCCTTGGGTCTGCGCATTTCTCGCCCTCGCCAGGCCCAGTTCTTACCCCCGAACTAGCCACAGCGGGCTAGACCGAGGGATGGCGCCTGCGTGCTTCCCACCTGATCGGCGGGGCTCGGCTCCGAAGCTCGCTTTGCTCAAGCTGGAGGTAGGAGACCTGGGCCGGAACTTCGTAGCGCCAGCTCAGTCCCAAACCAGGCACTTCCGGTCGGCAGCGCCGTCCGGTTGCCTCTCTAGCCCTGCCCTCTCGCCTGCTCCTCGCGGCGCGCTCGCGAGGGGCGGGGTCTCGGGCTGGGCTGCGGTGCGACGTAACAGCGGGAGGGGGTGGGGTCGGGCCGCGGACGCTTCTCCCGGGCCGGGAGCCGCACAGCTGATTGCAGCTGGCGCTACCCGGGACGTGGTTATTGGAGCTGTGGTAGCCACCTCCCCGAAGCCGAGGAGTGGGCTAGGCGGAGGGTGCGGCAGCGGGGCCGGGCGGGAGACGGCCTGACCCACAGGCACCCACCTCCCTTCCTGCACTGGCCCCCCGCACTGCTGTCCGTCCTTCGCTTCCCTGCCCTGCCCAGCCCAGCCCAGCCCAGCCAGGTGCTTCCTTCGGGTCCTGCCCTCGGTGTCCCCTCCCTGGCTCCGACGGGAGTGGAAGAGTGCAGAGTTGGGACAGGGCAGAGGCTGCCGGGTGCTCCTCTCTCTGGCGCCAACCTTTCTGACCCACACGATCCTGCCTGTGATCTGACCAGCGCCTCTCTTACCCGGGCACCCTCCCTCGAGCCCAACCCCGGTGGTGGGCGCCGGAAATAGGGCGGACTCCCGGAATCAAAACCCAAACCGTGGGACTTCAGCCAAGTGGGAAATCACCCCCCGGATGTGAGGGAGGGAGAAGGGGAGGAAGAGTTGGAACAGGCAGGAGGGGGCTTAGGCTACAGCAGAGTGGGTCGCCGATCAGTACGGAGAGCTGTGATTGTAGGTTGACGCCAGAGGGCCTCTAGGAGCAGAGAGGCAACCTGGAGTTCTACAACCCTCTGCCCAGCTAGAACCTTCTCCCCCTTCCTTGCCTTCTCAGCTTCACCATAAAAGGGAACCGCACCAAGCCAGGCCGTGCCGGGGAGCTGTCAGGGGTAATGGAAGCCAGTTGCTTTGCGGTAGAGGGGGGCCAGGGCTCAGGGGAGGCCTCTGCTACTCTGAGCCAAAGAAAATTCTACGGGAGCTGCTCTGGGGCTGCAACAGCTGGGACAGGGGACCAACTCATGCCCTGTGTGCACAGTGCGTTGGGGACTCAATAGCCCAAAGCAGGCTTTTCTGGCCTGGGGCCCTCAGCACGTTGTCCTCAGCCGCTCTGCCAGGGGCTCCTAATCTCAATCCCTGCCCTTAGTAGTATTTTCCCTGACCTCCCCTCCCCCTCCAGTCCCCACCCAGCATTTCCCAGAAGCTTCATATTTAGAATCCCAAGGCCACCTGCCCTCCACGCGGCATTGGCATAACGTTGGGAGCCCATAACTGGGCTCCCTTATGCATCCCTCAGAGTGGTCTGTTCCAGGTCTATTTCATGAGAAGGAGGCTCCAGGTTCAAGGATTACACATCATTATGTTCGTGTCTCCTGCAGATCTGAAGCAGATCCAAGTCCAACCAAACATCTAGGTGTATTGTTGAATTAGAACTAGATTTTCCTTTTAAAAATAAGCTCCACCTCTAGGCAGACCCTGGAAGGTAAACTTTCTAGACTGCAAATGACATAAGTGGTTCAGTTTTACAAAACTCTCCTAAACCAAATTATTCAAGGGCACAGTATCCTAAACTATCAGAGGTGAAAGGGGCCTTTAAGATCTTTTTTATTCATTTTTTTTATCTTAAGGTTTTTGCCATAGGGTGAGTACATTGACTGGAGAAACAGAGAGAGAGAAGTGAGAGGGAAGGTGAAAAATCACCCCCCAGAGGATGGTCATGCTGCAATCCCTCCTCTGTTCTCCTGGCATTTTGGGCACACATGCACATGCACACAGCACGATTTTCAAGCCACCAGATCCGGAACTTGAACTGTGGTCAGTCATGTGGGAGTTCAGCACTGTAACCACTACGCCACCTGCTGGCCCTTAAAGACATTTTTTTATTTGGTATAGGATGTGGGCACTCACCACAGATAAAAGGAAAGCGAAAGCACTCCCCGGGAAGGATGGCCACTCCTCAATCTCTTCTCCATTTTTCTCTTGAGATTTTGGGCACACATGCACACCCATGTGGCATATTTTTCAAGCCGCCAAATCTGGGACTTGAATCACACGATTGGCCATATGGGAACCAGCTGCCTTCACCACGTCACAGGCTGACCCCAAGAACATTTTCTAAAGAAGGAAACAGGCTCAGAAGGTTAGCTTGGCCAATGTTCTACAACTGGTTATAGACTGTATCACCCATTCACTTTAGCTCCATCCCACAATCCGTGTTCCAGTGTGGACTCACCAGGTTGCTCTAGGTCAGGGACAAGAGGGAAAGGATTTATTTTTCTGGTTGCTCAGTCCCTGATGGTTGAACTGAATGAGTTAGTCACTTGGTATGGCCAAGATTTCCCATTGGCTCTGGCTCCTTGAAAATCCCCCATCTTGGGACCAGCAGTTAGCATAATGGCTATGTCGCTGGACTCCCATGTAGTCAACCACGGTTTGCGTCCCGGACCCAGTGGCTTAGAACTCACGCCGGGCGCGTGTGTGTGCGTGCCCAAGATCCCGAGAGAAGAAGGGATTGTGGCGTGACCATCCCCCCTGGGGGGTGATTTCTTGCTTTCTGTCTCTCTGTCTCTCTCTGTCTGTCTGGCGAGCGCACGTGCCTTATAGAGAAAAACCTCTCCAAAAAAAAAAACAAAAACAAAAAAACATCTTGGGACCAGCAGTTAGCGTAATGGCTATGTCGCTGGACTCCCACGTAGTCGACCAGGGTTCGCATCCTGGACCCAGTGGCTTAAACTCATGCCAGGCACGTGTGCGTGCGTGCCCAAGATCCTGAGAGGAGAATGGAGGAGAAGGGATTGCGGTGTGGCCATCCCCCCTGGGGGTGATTTCTCGCTTTCTGTCTCTGTCTCTCTCTCTCTCTGTCTAGCGAGCGCATGCACCCTATAGTAAAAACCTCTAAAAAAAAAAATCCCCCATCTTGGGGAGGTTATAAGATAGATCTTGTCTTACTGCTCCAGACACTTAGCCTTTTTTGGTGTCAGGAACTCAGAAATGTCCTTCACCTCCCAGGACTTCCTGTGTCTAGGTCAGCGAGTCTTTATCAGCCTTGAGTGGGTCATTTGGCCCAATGCCTGGAAGAACCAAAATTTTAAAAAATGGTCTCTAGACTCAGCTAAGAACTGACTAAGCCTGGAAAACAAAAAGCTTGGACAAAAGAATATGGGGACTAACAGTTGGCATAATGGCTATGTTGCTGGACTCCCATGTAGTGGACTGCAGTTCAAGTCCTGGACCCGGTGGCCTAAACTCACGCCAGGCACATGTGCGTGCGTGCCCAAGATCCCAAGAGGAGAATGGAGAAGAGGGGATTGCAGCGTGGCCATCCCCCCAGGGAGTGATTTCTTGCTTTCTGTCTCTCTGTCTCTTTGTCTTTCTGGCAAGATAGCAAAAACCTCTCCAAAAAAAAAAAGGAGTATGTGGGAAATGAGACAGGTGAAGCCCCTTCTTGGAATTTGGAGGCAGGGAAATGATGGGGGGACATTTGTGTACTTTATCTCTGTCATCAGTGTGACTTTTTTAGGAAAATGAGGCCAGCACTGGGCTCAGGAATAAGAAAGCAACAAGGTCTGGGAACAGGGTACTGAACTCTGAGCCCAGGAAGGTTGGCTCCTAAAGTATTACTCCTGAAGGAAGGGTGGGAAGGGTTGGAAAAGGAAAATGGGGAGAGGTGGGCTTTTGCTCAGGACTGCCCCCAAGCTTGAATTCTCATCTAGGTTGGCAGGACCCAAAGCGCAATTCACAATATTACCCTTTTCTTCCTCTCAATATCCAGTCCACTGACAAAGGGTATTAGATGTACGTGCTCCTTGTTCCTGGTGCCCCATGGCTGCCGGGTCTGGGAACCAGAGCTCACTGTGCAGTCAGTGATGGTCACAAGAATGAGTTGGTTGCTTAGTATGAGCAAGGTTTCCCATTAGCATGGATCCTTGGAAATCCCCCATATTGGAGAGGTTATGAACTAGATCTTGTCTTAGTGCCCTCAGGGACTTAGCCTTTTGTGATGTCAGGAACTCTTGCTAATTGCTTTGGAAATTTGTGACTGCCTGCCAATACCACCCCCACACCACTGGCACCATCACCACCACCCCTGCGTTCTGTTTAACCATAGCCACTGGCTTGCCTACCCTCAGGCCAGCAATGATGAACACAGGGCCTCTGATTTAGCTGAGACCCCACAAACAGTCTTGGCTCCTAATTTCAAGACTACAGAAAATGCAATCTACTCCAATTGCATCTCAAAGTCCACTTTTTAAATTTGACACGCTTACATTGTAGAACTGATTTTTAAACTCCAGGGGACTGGAGAGGGGGTCACTAACAACCGGGCAGTGGCAAGAGGGCTAGGATGACTTTCCAGGGTGCCAGAGGCCCCCTGAAGGGAGAGGAGAGTGAGAAGAGCAGAAAGAGAACCCAGAGTGGCCCAAACCGGGGCCTGGAACTGATGCAGACCCCGGCAGACAAAGCCACAACCTCCCACAACCTTCCATGGGCAACTCCTTTGAAATCAGGATCTCCTGTGACTATTTTCCTCATGTCTCATTGTGTGATGGTCCCCCAGACTGCTAAATGGGTAGCCACGAAGGTCCATCTCTATTGGCTCCAGCATTTACTTTCATTACCCTGTCTTTTCACCATTGTTTTTCCCAGCCACCAAGGTGACATCCTGAGCCATAGGACATGAGAGGCAGATCAGAGCTATGCAGAAGGTTGGTGGCGTCTATCTCCATGGCTTCCAACTATTGTCCACATTTCTAACCATCTCCCGGACATGTATTTCCATTGAGATGTGTTATTGTCTGGAGGAGTCCAACCCAGCGGGGCTCCAGGATCTGTCTGAGCCCCTTGACCTCAAGTCAATCCACCCCCGCTGAGGCTGGTCCCCAGCAACTGTCATCTTTCACTTGCATACCCATACTCAGGTCACCCTTCCTTCCACCAAACCTGCTCCTCCTCTCAATTTTCCCAACCTGGCTCAAACCCTGGAATTGTCTCTAATATCTCCTCTCATCTGGTCCCTCATACCCAGTCAGGCAGTCACAACCTTCGCTTCCTTTCAGGGTCACTGTCGCCACCAGAGCCCAAGTGTGTACACCTTTGCAATATAGAACCTGGAAGGGACCTTGAGCAACAGACTCTAAGTGGTGCCATGGGATTCGCTCAAAGTTATGTTAGAGGAGAAACTAGACTAGATTGTCCATGCTGGGACACCCTTACGTGGCTCTCACTGGCCGTGTCTCCTTCCTTGTAAACATGCTCCTCTACTCAGAAATGTGTGATCCAGCCTCCTAACCAGTCACTTGAGCCTATCCTTAATTTGTCCATGAACTACCCTGTCTTTCTTTTTCATTTATTTTTTTAAGAGAGATTTTTGCTATAGGGCATGTCCACTCGCTGGAGAAACAGAGAGAGACAGAGAGCGAGAAATCACCCCCCAAGGGGGAATGACCATGCTGCCATCTCTTCCCCTCCACTATCTTCTTGGGATTTGTGGCATGTATGCACACACACCTGGCATGAGTTTCAAGCCACTGGGTCCAGGACTCGAACCGCAGTTGACCAATGGGAGTCAAGTGACGTAACCATTATGCCATCTGCTGGTCCCTCTTCTCCCTGCCTCATCTTTCTTTTTTTCTTTTCTTCTTCTTCTTCCCCCACCCCCCGCCCCCAGGTTTTTGCCTTATGGTGAGGAGAGAGAGAGAGACAGAGACAGTGAGAAGGAAAATGAGAAATCAATCCCCAAGGGGAATGGCCATGCCACAATCCCTTCTCCACTCTCCTCCTGGGATCTTGGGCATGCATGCACACACGCCCAGCATGAATTCAAACCACCAGGTCTAGGAATCGAACCATGTAAGAGTCCAGCGATGTAACCGTTGTAGCATCTGCTGGCCCTCCCTTTCTATATCACTTCTGCTTGCCGCACATGTGGCTCATGTTGATGAAGCATTTGCCGTCTTCCAGGCGCTGTTCTAAATGCCTCACACATACTAACTCATTTAGTCCCCACACACCTAAGACGGAGGGGATTATCATTATATTTTCTATGTTGCAGATGAGGGAACTGAGGCAGACTGCTTTTCCCGAGCCAGAAATACGTCCTCACCCCTTGCCTCTTCTTTGCTGCCCCGCTCCGCCCATGCCCTGGGCAGTTTCCCAGCAGTTCCCCTCTGCCCCCAGCAGCCAGCCATCTTTCCTCTGTTCTGAGCCAGAATGGGCATCGTCCCTTTGACCTGCCCCTGACACTGGGTCTGTCCTGCCTTGTGATAGTGCTATTCCAGAGCCTGTGTCCCACTCGCAACAGACTTCCTTGCTCCTTAGGGGACAGTGACTGAGTGTCTGTACCCGAGTGCCTTTGCTGCCTGGGCACTCCCATGGTAACTGGCTCACAGTATTCTCCTTTCTTTTATTTCCTTCCTTCCTTCCTTCCTCCCTTCCTTCCTTCCTTCCTTCTTTCTTTTTTCTTTTAATTTGCCATAGGGCATGTGTGCTCACCAGAGAGAGAAACAGGGAAAGTGAAAAAGCAACCCCTCAGGAAAATGGCCATCATCCTCCATTCTCCTCTCAGGATTTTGGGAACACACACACACACCCCTGGTGTTTTTCAATCCTGGTTTTTCAAGCAGCCGAGTCCAGGACTCAAAGAGGGCAGTCAGTCGCATGGGATCCGGACTCTGCAACCACCATGCCACTGTCTGGCCCAGCATTCTCCTTTCTGTCTCCGCGCCTCTGCTTCTCTCCCCCAGGCATCCCACCACACAGGAGACCCTGGCCGAATACAACACTGAGGGCCAGGTGGTGAAAGGGGGCCAGCCGTCTCACAAGGAGCTTTCCCGTCAGGCCGATGGTTCTTTGTCTGCCCCGGAGAGGCTACTATAGACCTGCCTCCAGGCCAGGGTGTGGCTGCCTTTGGGGCTACCCAGCTAGGTCCCCATGTACCCTTCCTCCCCAGTTGTGGTCTGAACTTCACCGAGACAAGCCTGGGACCCGTATTCATTTGGCCCTTTAATAGAGACCCTCTCTTCTCTTCCCCCGTCCCTTCCTCCTACCTCTCGATAGAAGACCATTGACCATTTGCACATTTCTTTCCTCTCTTCTGTCATCTCCGGCTCTTCCGCCGACCTCGGTGCAGCCCTTTCTCCTCTCCTCCTCTCAAAGCACAGGCCAGGCATCTAGAGCTGAAGCTCAGCCCTACTGCTGACTGGTGTGTTACCTTGGATTAGTCACTGTCCCACCCTGGACCTCGGCTTTCACATCTCTGAAAGGACGCGGCCAGACCGGACGGTGAGAGCCTATGACTTCATCGTCCCTTTTCAGCCCTCCCCTCCCGCTCTCTCCCCGGGGCTTCCTCTCTCAGGTCTCTCCCAGGGGAGCCCTGCCCTGGCCCCAGGAGAGCTGTGGCCCTGGCTCCCGTTCCCTGTCTGAGCGACTAGCTGGGCCTCCTCCCCAGCTTGGCCGGGGCTCCATGTGGCCCGACTGAGAGGCTGGCCCCAAGCCCGGCGGCAACTCCACATTTCTGTTTTTCCTTTTTTTTCTCCCTCTTTCCCGGAGTTAACAAGAAGCAGATGTGGCGCTCCATGGTTGGAGAGGTGGAGGGATGAGGGGGGCCGGCCAGCCAGCCAGACAGGGGGGAAGGGAGGGAGCGGGCCGGGCAGGAGGAGGCCAGGGCCCGCCCCACAGACACTCTTGCGCCTCTGAAAAGCCACAGGGGCAAAGCCCTGTCACCCTCGGGATCCGGTCATCAGGGGAAAAGGACAGGGAGACCAGAAGAGGGCCAGCTGGGGCGAGGGGGTGGAGGCCCAGGAAGCAGCATCTGAGCCGGGCAGGGACCAGGCGCAGGAGGCCAGGGGGCACGAGAACAGACTCCCCTCAGAAGTGAAGAAGAGGAGAGCGGAAGGAACCAAGGGAGGGACAGACGGCAGCCTAAGGAGGAGGAAAGAGGAGGGGGAGAGGGGTCAGGCCAGGCAGCCTTGGAGGAGGCGTGCGGCTGGGGTCTGCCGGCAGGAAGCCGGGGACAGGACTGGACCGGCTGGCGCTGTCCCGCAGAGCGGCGGCGTCCCCTGGGGCCGGGCAGAGGCGCCAGTGGTCAGGAGGGATGTGCCTCTGAGGCCCGCTGCGGAGCGCCCCACCATGGCCCGCCGTACCCTCTGGAGCTGCTACCTCTGCTGCCTGCTGACCTCGGCCGTGGGGGCTGCTAGCTACCCTCCTCGAGGCTACAGCCTCTACACGGGCGCCGGGGGCGCCCTCAGCCCAGGGGCACCCCAGGCCCAGAGCAACCCCCACCCTGCCAGCCGCCACAGGTAAGTGTGGGGCCAGCCTGAGGCTGGAGGTGGGTGGGAAGGGCAGACAGGGGGTTGCTGGCCACTCGGCCACCCTCCCTGGGCTGTATCCCCTATTGCAGGGAAGAAGGGAGAGGAAGCCGTCCATCAGGTAGCTCTGCGAGAGCTGCTTTCCTGCAGGGCCTTTTCCAGGGTAACCTAGGGGGATCCTTTCCCATATCCTCCCCATGGGGCCTGCAGTTAGGGGCCCGAGAAACAAGCCTGAGGGGTGTGGGCCAGGCCTTCCTGCCAGCTGCCAGCTGTGTACCAGCCCCGGACGCTCAGGCAGACCTCGTGTCCCTTCGAGGACTTCCTTGGCCCCATCCTGTAATCCGTAATTCTGACACGGGTCCAGCTCTGCTCCCCTCGGCTCTCCAGCCGGACACGGTACAGCACGGAGGCCGGCATGAATGGGGCCCGGGGTGTAGAACTGCAAGCCCCAAGCGGGGCAGAGCCCATCAAAGGCTCATTCTCTGCCTGACCCTGGGCTGGACCTCAGCCTGCCCCGTCTGCCCCCCTGAGGGGTGGGTGGAAAAGTCAGTGTCCGGGGATCCCCAAGGGGACTGGGCCATCTGCCTCGCAGGCCACATGCTGAGCGGGGGACTGAGACGGGGCCAGAAAGCGACATGAATGACTGTGTGCATTTAGAGGCTCCTGGAGCCCCTCGGCCAGGAGGATTGACTTCTCTGTGGTTGTGGTTTTCTATTCTGCGCCTCTTTCCATCTTGAAAAGTCTTTATCTGCTTCTGCTTGGCAGAAAGGCATGGGGGTGGGAGGCGCCCTCGCTGAAGCCTGGGCTCTCACTCGTCCCCAGTGGCTCCCCATCTCTGACCCCCTCAGCCCCTGCGGTAGCCCCGGCCCTCCTCTGGGCTGCGTGTCTCTGGTCCTCATGCCAGGTGTGGTTGTTGCCCGCAGAAACTGGTGTGCCTATGTGGTGACTCGGACAGTGAGCTGTGTCCTCGAGGATGGAGTGGAGACCTTCATCAAGCCAGACTACCAGCCCTGTGGCTGGGGCCAGCCCCAGTGTCCCCGAAGCATCATGTGAGCCCCAGTGCCGGGGTGGGCACTTGGCAGAACTGGGCAGGGGCAGAAGGCGGGTGGCTGTCTCAGAATCTACCACGCAGGGAGGGGCAGGACAGGGGCTCCATTCAGAAGGATCGGGAGGAGACGCTGAGTTGAGTTTGGCCGGTGGGATACGGAGGGCAGACTTACCCTGCCTGCCAGCCCCAAATGCCTTCTCTGGGGTGGGTTACTATCCAGGAGAGGAGCTTGAGGTTCCAGCATAGGGCACGGGGAAGAGCAGGGACTTGGCTCTTGGCCAGAAAGCTGACAGCTGTCATCTGAGCAAGACCACATGCTGGACAGTAAGAGAGACTGAGCCTGAGGGACAAGCCTTGCCCCCCACCAGGGGCCAGGTCACTGGTACAGGAGGAACAGAGGCCTCCCTCTGCTCCTGCCAGGTACCGCAGCTTCCTCCGCCCCCGCTACCGTGTGGCCTACAAGACAGTGACAGACATGGAATGGAGGTGCTGTCAGGGATACGGGGGCGATGACTGCAGTGAGGGGCCTGCCCCCGCACTGGGCCCCGCACCTTCTACACCACGCCCACGGCCCCGGCCTGCCCGCCCCAACCTCTCCGGCTCCAGTGCAGGCAGCCACCTCAGTGGACTAGGGGGAGAAGGTGAGTGTGGGAGCTGCCGGTGTGAGTGGGAGGCGCTCCAGGGGGAAGTGGGGATCAGGCTGCTGAGAGAAACCCTGTGTGTGCTCCAAGGCAGAGAGAAGGACAGTGAGATCCCTGAGCTGACTCCCGTGTGTGTGTGTGCGTGTGTGTGTAACCCAAAGACCCACAGAACGAAAAGAGACCGCAGAGAATGCGCTCACATGCGCCCCCATGCGGCCAAGATCCTTCCTAGCTGAGAGCCACGGCGGGAGGAGGGGGCATTTCTTTGAGAAGCTCCTCTGCAGGGCCAGAGACTACAAGTCCTAGCATGCACCGCACCTGACTACAGGTCCCAGGCCCCTCTGTGGCCTCTGGAGACTGTGGGTCCCAGAATGCAGCAGTCCCCGCGGCTTGCTTTCCCTCCGCGTGCGCACTCCGGATGCGTGGTGTTGAGAGATAGCCAGGCTATGATTATGGACACAAAGCTTCCGGCTGCCTCCCTGGCCATCTGCTAGAGCCCCAGCCTGCTTCCTGTGGAGCCTCTCGTGTCCCTGTGGTGTCGAATGGGGTGCTAACCAAGATAGCTCCTGTCGTGTGATGTCCAGAGTGTCTCCCACCCACCCCCCACGTTGACTTTTCGCTCCTCTTGACAGCCCAGTAAGGGAGGACAGATAGTGGCATTCTCACTTGGCGGAGAAGGAAGCAGTTTCCAAAACATTAAGAGGCAGTGTGAACACGTGGAAAGGACACGGGCTTGGTGGCCAGGCAGATACCCAGTTTGCAACTTGCCTTTGCCACGTATCAAACTTGCAGTCCTTGCCAGTTACCTGGTATCTGTGTTCCTGTTTCCTAAACCGTAAAATGGGGAGAGCTACTGGTTACCTGCCCAGAGGAATTGTTGGAAGGGAAGTGGAGCCATGGTTCCAACCTGACCCAGAGGTATTCAGTGACTGCATTTCCTTTCTTCTCTTCTTGCCTAAATCGCCCAAAGGACAGGCAGAGCCAGCATGGGCCTCTGAATCTTCTTGGAGTGGGGGCGAGCGGGACCTGGGTGGCAGGCCCTGAACTCTGCTCTGAGGTTCAGCCCCTCTGCTTTTCCCTCTCTCCAGGTCCTGGGGAGTCAGAGAAGGTACAACAGCTGGAGCAGCAGGTGCAGAGCCTGACGAAAGAGCTGCAAAGCCTACAGGGTGTCCTGCAGGGGCTGAGTGGGCGCCTGGCAGAAGATGTGCAGAGGGCTGTGGAGACGGCCTTCAATGGGAGGCAGCAGCCAGCAGATGCAGCTGCCCGCCCTGGCGTGCACGAAACCCTCAATGAGATCCAGCACCAGCTGCAGCTCCTGGACAACCGCGTCTCCACCCACGACCAGGAGCTGGGCCATCTCAACAACCATCATGGTGGTGGTGGCAGCAGCGGCAGGGCCCTAACTCCAACCCCGGCCCCAGCCCCGCCTGGCCCCAGTGAGGAG